AGCACACACACACACACACACACACACACACACACACACACACACAGATAACTCAGTTTGTAAGACCACGGTGGTAAGACTCTTCAATCTGGGTGCAGGCGTGTCAGGTCCGGTTTCACATCGCGGGCGTTGTTTTCTTAGAGGTTTTAAAACTTTAAAATCTCGTTCAATCGGAAGTGAATTTGAAATCGGGGTTCCTGCCTCTTACTCTAATTGTCTTGCGGCGTGTTGAATGTTTGACTCAACTTAAGGTAAAAGCTTTGTGTACTGGATTTTTAACCCCCCCCCCCCCATAAAAACAAAACGAAATGAAAATAATTCACCAATCAAACAGGTATTCTCAACTGAAAGCAAACTTACAACTATGTTTATCATACAATACGCTATTGGTATCATTTTCTGTAAAGTGGAGAAATGATAGGTGGATCTGAACGTCAGTGTCAATCAACTCCGCATAAACAGCAGCACACCAGTCGTTTACCTGGTATTTGTTTCGATTAAAACGTGTAACTTTTTCGGTTGCACATTGTGATTTGTATAAGACTTTTTATGCAAGAGCCAACAAGCATTTACAGAGAACGAAAAATAAATTCCGTTGCATTTTACGACTTTTACGAGGCACATCGGCATGAATATATGGGAATTCTATTTTTCATGCGTGAACAGCATTCTGTTATGTTTGTCGAAACGTTTCTCTTAAAAAACTTATTTGAGAAGATCCGGATTGGTCCTATTTTAAAATGAGTCACGAAAAGGTGTGTGGTGGGATTGTGTAGAATCTGCCACACCGACGTTATCTACATACATACACGCCCTGATAATTATTTTGTGTTGCTGTTGTTGTTGCATACAATAGCAATAGCCATCTTTTTCAAATTGTATTCTGGGAAACGCTTTGTGACGTTCTAAAGCTAGTAGTTTAAGATAATTAGCCCACCTGGCGCCACACTGAGTGAGTAAACGCACAAAACGACAGGCCGATGTGAGGACACAGCACACAACTATTGTCACTTCGCTACTTTAGAATTACAACGTTCTATCTTCTCAGTACCTAGTTTTAAGAAATTTTATGTAAAAAAAAGTTTCACAACATGCCTATTTACGCTTTTTCGAATTCAATTCTTTGAATATCTTCATGAGGACTTCAAATCATCTTACCATTTTGATAGAGCAGACAGAACATTTGTTTTCTGACCTCATGGTCTTAATAACAAAACGGCCAAAATATGACAGAACTTCGTAATTCTATGGTAGCGATTTTACAAAGCTTCCACTTTGGAGGGTCTCCTCCTCGTTAGGCGCAACTTTCTACTAATTAGGCTGATTCCAACCTTCGATTTTTCCAACTGTGCAAATAATTGTTCAGACTATTGCTGCTTAAGACTTAAGCATAAAATAAAATACAGGACCCTTGCGAAATGAACGCAGGTTGGTTAGAGCGTACAGACGCAGGTCGATCGATTTCGACATTCTGGGCCTCGGGGCATCTGGTCGTTCCCCTCTGCTGACATCCAAATCGCGATCAGTTGAGACCCCCAGCAGCAAGCTATGAGGACATGTACGCACGTTGGGGATACTATACAGTCGACGTTACGACTTAAACGTATCGATTGTTGAGTGTTTATCGAAACGCGAGACGTTGCCCTGAGTTACGGCCCGGCTCGGTCCCCCTTTCATAGACCGGTTAAATCTAACGGGCTTATCCGCACCGGTAGGGTTTCCTTGAGGTCAGAATGACGCGAACCTTCTCCGCTCAGTGTGTTTAGTCAACTTTGACACAGATCTAATTAATGCATCTTTTATTCAAAATCCTGAGATAACACAAAAATTGTGCTCCTTCCAAAATAGATAGCCCTGACGACATCGCCATCAGAACAAGATAGGTGTTACAATCTCTTAGCCTCTCATTTTCTGTGTAACCTCTCAACTTTGACCTTTGATCTGTTTACAAACAGGCATTATTGTTTGGATGTTCATTGGTTGATGCGTTTTGCTATCTGTGAGTCGAGACGAAGAGAAGTAATAAAGGATTTGGGCGTAAAATGATGAAATATTTCCACAAGTTTCTGTACATTGCTCTAGAATGTGCAAGAACAGAAACGAGGGTTAAAACTAAAGAAAAAGGACGAACAATGTTGTTCTGTTCCCTCTCTTCGCTCTTCTCGCTTCCAGTCAGCGCAGAGAACAACCCAACCTCTCGCTCTCTTTTCACTTGCGCGGAGTAGGGAGGTTCCACACCTCTCTGCGCATGCTTGAAAACCTTCCATTTCATTGGCTGGGTTAACCATTTCTAAAAATAGTCGTGGATTTCCCTTCTATATAGCGTTCTGTCACAAGACGATGCAATCACTCTTGCTAACGTAAACAGAACAGGTTCGCACGGACGTTTAGCTTACGTCGAGTGCCATAGTGAAACAAAAAACGCTGACAAGCACTCTGTGACAGTGATTTTTCTGTGAGTAAGACTGAAAAACATTGGTGCCACGGAAGGCCTTTTCACCCGACACGTCTATTTTATGGGAGAATCTGTGACTACAAGCGCGTTCGACGCTCACCCGTTAGTGAACAAGTGGCGTAGGCCAGTGAGTACTTTGTACAATGTACCAGACTTGTTTATTTTGGGGCGTTTCTTCAGCGATTGATTTTCTATTAAGACATGATTATATTTCATACATGTTTCTCAATGTTTGATACCTTTAGTTATTTGTTCTCTTTTGAATTCTTTTCTGGGGAAGATACAGATGGTGTTTGATTTTGTGCGCTAATTAAGAATTAGGAAGTAAGGTGATAATTATGCTGACAATGCTCTGAGTGTACAGTCCCACAGATGGTGTGCAAATTAGTAGTTGATTTGTTTTTCAGAGTATCTGCGAGAGAAAACTTTTCATCTTTCAATTCCTCGTAGGTTGATCTTTTCATTAGTTTACCATTTTGTTTGTGGGGAAAAAACGAGCCTGTAAAACCTCAGATTGTTCACATATCCTGAGGATCCACGTACTGATACGCAAATTAAATAATTCAGCATCCCCGTGGAATGCTACTCTCCCCTCTCCCATGTTTACCGCCAAACAACTAGTTTCTAATCTTTGCTTAGTTGGAAAAAAGAAGACAACGAATCGACATTTCCACTCTTAATCCCACGCAAATGCTCAGTACAAATTTTAAAACCCGTTGCTATCAATGATCTGAATGGACATTCCCATTTGTATAATCATAGTTGGAGGTAACGCGACTTTGAAGGTAGTCGGCGCTATTCAGTGTTGTTGCTTTTTTATGCTAATCCTTTGAATTAAAGTTAACAC